AATCTACAATGAGCGTTCCCGTAACAACGGACTGTCTGAACAGCGGTAACGGAACCGTGAGGAACGGTGTCCGCTATCCGGTCCGCATAGCCCCTATATAAGCAGAGCCAGAGATGAGAACGAGACAGTCTTGGGATAGCCGCCGCCAGAGACAGCTGAGAACCAACCACGGCCAAGGGTAGTCGAGACGTCGCATTTGAGTATTGGGCCAGAAGTCAAGTGACACTGCAAGCGATAATAATTGTAAGGTGTGTAAGTGTGAGTGTCCAATAAAGATTTGCTAAATCCGAGACCCACGTGAAGTTATTTGTCGCGTGACATACCCAACACGTGACAATATAGTAACCACTGGACTGTAGAGGGTTAACGATTTATTTTACTGTGCTATCAGAAACTCGGCGTCGAAAGATAGAATTATTGAATCATGAACTGGAAAATATGCAGGCGGAAGCGGTTGTAGTGTGGCATGAAGCGCTGTCCAAGAATCTACTGCGAGAAATTAAGGAAAACAACAAAACTTTCGGTCTTCAGGCCAAGTTCTGTCCATTATACTGTTTTGTTTTGATTTCATTTCATTTCAGTAAGTCAACTGGAGGCACATAATGGGTACCCCACTTACCGTTAACTCATATATTCCAAAATCTTATATGAATATCATATTCTGCATCACACAGCCGTTACGCGTGGGTCTATTAACTGTGATTAAGCAGATTTATACACAAATGACACATTTTGCTGCAGTAATATGTGAATAGAAGAGTTTTGTGAAATATCAAAATTACTGATCTGGGCTATTCATTTATCTCACTAGGTCAACATCTGTCAGTTATATACAGAACATATATCTGCCATAAAAGTTGCATAAATCATGGAAAAGTAAACATATAATGAAGTAAAATCAATCAAAATACGTACCGTGTTGACATAGAGGCAACAACGATCTCAACGCATTCAGGAAATGATCGGTTCGAGTCTCGGATGAGATGCCATGTATCCTGACAGGTCGTTCGTTTATTTCTTGGAACCCTCAGAAAATTTCCGGCATAGTACTCCTGTTAGGACACGACTGGTTCTTCCCAAATCCTTCCAAATTCATCTTTCAACAACCATCCGACGCTATAGTCTAAATACTGACACCGTCATAAGAGAGAAAAAAGAGGTTCTCGGAAGAACTAATCACCTAGTTTCCTTTGATACTACACGGACCGCATAGAAAACAAAAGAATTAGAGAAGGAGCAGACACCGAGACAAATAATGATATTTTGTAGTAATAAATAGCAACGACCCCGTTGCCTAGCAAAAATGAGGGCGACACAGAAACACAGACAGCAAGGTGATCTCATAAGCTTTTTTTTTTAAATGGGTGGAACACACAGAAATGTGGTCTCATAAACAAAAAGGTAAAGCTATTCCTGTAACAGGCCATGGAGGCCCATAGGGTCGTGAGACGTTGAGGGTCGGACATTATCTAGAAAATCGGGTCAAAGATGGCGGTGAGGTTGTCAGTCTTACGCGCCGGCCGCCCTTTGCGCCCCAGGAAGATTCCTGGTGCTCATTTCTGTTACGAGTCTGAGTCGACCCCAGGGTCATAGTGGGGCTGGAACGATCAGGTGCGCTCAAATGGCCAAATTACAGAATTCCTTAGCTTTTGTGGCCCCCAAATTTAATAGCAATATTTATAAAAGCCCACCACTGACCCATATGATGAGCCAGATCTATAGACTCAAAACTGCACTCTTTCTTTAGGATAAGTTTTTATAATATCCTTTCATATACGCCTATGTGGTTTCCAAAATAAAGTGTATTCATTCCTCCCTCACATTCCCTCCTCCCGCATCCCGCATATTTTGTCTCTGTGATATGATCCCAGCATTTGGTGAAGTGTGCAAATTAGGAAGCTCCTCATTCTGTAATTTTTTACAGCCTCCTGATATTTCCCGCCTCTCAGCGCTCTTTCTCGAACTCCGTGAGTTTATGTTTCTCTTTCGATGTGATGGACTCGAGTTTTGATACCGCTAGTTACGAACAGAAACGTTAAATTTTTTGTCTATTTCATAGTTTTTGTTACACAGTAATAAAGGATAACATTTTCCCAGTACTGTGAACGTACTTATGTGCTACGTGGAGGCATGCGCTCCACATAGAATTCAAGCTGTTTGCAGTTTGACGCCTCCTCATAGAGTCTACTGTGACCTTCCTGACACAAAGACAAAAAAAAAAAAGTAAAGCTATCCCTATAACCGTCCATGAAGGCTCATAGGGTTGTGAGTCGTTGAGGGTCCCACATTATATAGACAACCGGCTCAAAGATGGCGGTAAGGTTGTCAGCCTTACGCGCCGGCAGCGCTTTACTCTCCAGGAAAATTATTTATTTAATTCCTGGTACTCATTTCTGTCAGAGGCTGAGTGAACCCCAGGGTCATAGTGCGGCTGGAAGGGTTAGGTCAATCGAAAAGAATCCAATGACCTCCTCGGTATTTGAAACCGCGACCTTCCGACTTGTAGCTACACAAAACAAAATAAGGTAACTTGTGTCGTTGAGGCAATATAAAAACTCAAAGCGCAATCACACAAACCATTACGCGACGAGAAAAATATTCATATTGAATAAAATTTTAGTGACTAACAAAGTCACAATAATTCAGTTAAATTCTTGTTTATTTACGTGCAAACGTAACAGCCCAAAGGTCAACTACAAAGTCAGCGGAACAACGCAGAATAATAATAAAAAAAGTACAATACTGTCCCTGTACTTAGCTAATTAAGCACTACGTCATGAAGGCGTATGGGGGAGTGAATGTATAGACCCACGTTTTCTTGACATCGGCAATAACTGGAGGTGAGTGATCAGCTTCACGTCCCGGCCGCTCTACCCCTGGAGAAAGAGCCCCCGGTACCCACTGTATAGGAGGTTGTGTGGGCCTCAGAGCCGGTCTGGACGACATGGAGAAGTGAAAATTCTTACTCCTACCGGAACTCGAACTCCGACCCTTTGAGCGTGCAGCCCCATAGCCAGTCGCTATACCGACTGCGCTATCCCGGCTCCCAAAAATCAATAATAATAATAATAATAATAATAGTGTCGCGTATCGGGCGTATATCGCGACAAATAAATTCTCGATGTATTCGATGTAGCGAATTTTATTTCACATTCGCACTTACAATCATCCAAATTACAGATTTACGATTACTACTATCTGCAGTATCACAATTAGTACACTCCAAATGCCAGAATACAACTGACTGGCTGACTCTACGTCTCGACTCGGCGGCTGTCACAGTACAACTCTGCGGTAGCCACACTAGAACTCGAACTGATCGATNCCGCGCAGCCAGTTGTTGGGCTCATTACCACAGCATGCTCACCCTGGAGCATTATGCAACACAAGTGACTCCTCTTTAAGCTAATCGCTTTCGGGTAACCATAAGTTCGTTCCTAAGACCAAAGCGACTTGAGCAACCGAGGGATGTGCCTTCTGACAAGACCGGAAAGCCAGAAGCCTATTTTCTGTATAATAACAGAAATTCCTTTCTACAGCGCTTTCCATGTCCTGTCTTGCATTCGTAAGACTTGTCTAACGAGGAATAATTTATAAGTACGGGTTCGGAACCATCTCCTTTAATTATTCAGATTAACAATTCAGCTGTGTGGAACTAATTAAACTTGACTTAAGAATTACATGATCCCGCTTGTTAGTTATTCAACTGTATTAAGCTTTAATAACTTGTTTAAACAAACGATAAGTGTTTTTGCAGAGATGTGTTAAGGAAGCACAAAAGCCTGTTCCTGGGCGGAAGATAATATTCATCTTGGCAAGGAGAACGTCAATGAAATTCCAAGGCCACCAGAGTAGAAGAGGTTACTTGTTGAAACGATGCTAAGCGACTCTCTAAGGAATTCGAAAATACAAAAAGAAGCCTATAAACTTCATAGGTTCAGCCTCTGACGTCAAATAAATGTTTACAACTGCAGTGTCATAAATAACTGAAATTAATATACAGATATGCTTATTCATTTCTATAGGCACTGCTTAAAGCGAGCCTTAAGTCACTGAAACATGAGTTTCATCTAAATAATATCACTCACTCATGGAGCTGAGCCCTTCTTGAGAACCTGCCAATTGTGCAGCTACTCAAGAACTACCCAGCATTTTATGGAACCCGAAAGTACATTACAGTATTCACAAGAGCCCTCCACCGGCCCCTATCCCAAGCCAGATCAATCCAATTCATACCACCCCATCCAGTCCCCTTTAAGATCAGTTTTAATACTGTCCACCCACCTACGCCTTTGTCTTCTCAGTGGTCTATTTCCTTCTGGATTTACCACCAATATCCTATATGCATTCCCCCCCCCTCCATTCGTGCTACATACCCTCCCCACCTCATCCTCCTTGACTTGATCATTCCAATTATACTTGGAGAATAGTACAAATTATGAAGCTCCTCATTATGCAGTTTTCTCCAACCTCCTGTCACTTCATCTCTCTTCAGTCCAAATATTCTCCTCAACAAATAATCCTGTCACTTGTACATATACATATATGTATATATATGTGTGTGTCTGTACGTGTGTATGTGTGTGTGTTTGTGAAAGAGGGAGAGAGACTGAAATAGCAAAAGCACATGCCACCCTCGGGAGCCGGGATAGCGCAGTCTGTATAGCGACTGGCTAAGGGCTGGACGACCGAGGGATCGCAGTTCAAGTCCCGGTAGGTTCAAGAATTTTCTCTTCTTCACGTCTCTCAGACTGGCTCTGGCGTCCACACAACCTCCTATCAAATGGGCAATGGGGGCTATTTCCTAGGGGGTAAAGCGGCCGGGGCGTGAAGGAGACAATTCACCCCGAAGTAGTGCCGAAATCAATAATATATGGGTCTTGACATCCACTCCCCCATACGCCTTAATGGCTGGGTTCTTAATTCGTTAAGCACAGGGACAACTTTACATTTGTCACCTTTTTACATGCCACACTCAGTGCTGCTGTTTCACCTTACAGATTTGTCCGTTGGCCTGATCAGTGTTCTGACAGATATCGCCTGGCGACTGACGGTCGTGTGGTACGCTGGCAACGCGTTTTGTAAGATCATCAAGTTCCTGCAAGTGAGTTGTTGTCCATCTATACAAAACTTATAATTTTCCTGCAGTTTTGTATAGCGTGAAACTTTGTCTCTGATATCAAGGGAGGAACATACACTGAAGGTACATGAAAACAGGCTGCAGAGGAGAATATTTCTACTGAAAGGGGATTAAATATTAGGAAGACGTTAAAGGTCAACCTCTGTTTCGGAGGAACATGTCGCCTCCATCTTCAGGATTGAAGAATAAGCCAAGCTTAGCTTATAATTCGTTATATTCCAGAAGCTATAGCTATTCATAAAGACAGTTGTAAGAACCTCAAATCCTAAACAATAGGAGGCTGGATAAAACTACATGAGTAGCTTCATAATTTATGGTCTTCGCCTAAAATAATTACATTGATGAAGGGTCATTCCATGTGAAGTCATTCAGAGAGGTCGCTCACCATATTTAAAAAAATTAATATTTTGTACATTTATTTGTACATATTTTCACACTTCAAAAATATTTTGTAATAATTTAATCCCCTTGGTTATCCCGGTACAGCCGCTTTTATAATGCGAAAAAAAAAACGCGTTTTGGGCTCACATGGAGGTTTGCGTTATCCTCTATATCTCGATAACTACTGAAGCTAGAGACTCCAGTAAGAAACCAAGTTGTTCCTCATGATATGGACTATAAATAATATCATTAGAAGGTTTCACTCAACTTATTACCTCTAGGTCTAATTAAGCTTGAAACTTACCTGTCGATTTTGGGAAAAACGCTATTTTTCACCTTCAAAAACCAATGGGAGGGGGGAAGTATCAGATCTGTGGGTTCTACCCTTTGTTGTTTCCTTCATGGGGAATATATCACGTAGGTTGAACCCCGTTCCTAGTTTCCAGAATTTTCCAGGAGTTTTCAAACTTTGCTCTGGGCCCCAAATCGGCCATTTTTAACAGGATTTATCACCGCGTTCGCAATATAAGCGACGAATTTTTCCGTCCAACGTCTTGAAGTGAGGATAAGTTATTTCCATTTCTGTATACTGGATACAAAGTCTACTTAATATCAGCGAGATCTTCGGTTCGATTCTAGGCTACCTCAAGGACTAATGTTTTTATTCAGTCACTGTCATCAACTATACATACGGTTAATGCTGTTTAGGGAAACAGTCGCTGTTTATTGTGAGAACCATACAGAGCACACAAATAATATCGAGATTCAGTTCGTACCTCCTAGGAAACATATTACGCCTCCCCTACAACGCCCAAACGGTTAATGCTGTTTAGGGGAAACAGTCGCTGTTTATTGTGAGAACCATACGGAACACACGAATA